AAATAATAATGTAGAGCAAATGGCATTTTAAGAAGAACCAGAATAGAATACAGTAAATGAGCAATTTATTTTCAAAAAGAAAGTCTGAAATTGTCTCACTCTTATAAAAGTCAACTGCCTGAACATGTTGATAATTGCACCCAGTATGGGAAATGTGAGAATATACTTATAATTTTAATTATGGAATTCTTGAGCTTTGTAGACATAATACTGTATTGGACAAGACAGTGCTGCTGCCGATTTTTAGGGGGGCAGGAAACACCTTAACCACTAATGGTAAGGATGGACCAGGTGAATTTTTGGATTTTACAATACTAATAATAGCAACCTGACAACTTTTAGAGTGAATACAAGGTAATTAGCTGTGAGAAAGGCAATTTGCATAAGAATGTCACACAGCTGTCAAACTGTTTGATTCTTGTATACACTTGATTTTGGTCCTAAATTAAACATTTGGTGAGTAGTAAGACTTTGCCAGCCTGAGTTACTGGTCTAACCTGTCTGGGTCAGTAATTGGCACCTCTAAACAGGTTATGTAGGTTGCTTTGGGATCAGAGCAGCAGTTTCTCTACCTGCATATTTTTCATGCACTATTATTGTTATCCACTTTTTACTTGTGCAATTATTTTAAAGAATGTAGCAAAGAGTTCACTTGAAGTTTCGCGTTAACATACCAAAGCCATTGAATAGCTTTGTATTACATGTGGTATTTGATGATTCACAATGTAATAGCACCCATTTACTGCAATATTTCCTCACCAAATCAGAAAGAAACATACTATATGTCTACTGTTGGCCCAGTGTTGTATGCACTCATACGGGGCCTTGATATTGCTTTTGACTAGTGTGATATTCCTAATATAAACCTGTTTCAATCAGTGTTTTAACTGGTTGTGGTTGTGGAATTTTCTGATCCATGCTTCTGGAGCTGTGGTTTGTGAAATCTGTCAATGATCCCATGGTAACGTATTCCAGTCACCAAATACAGGGCGTGGAAGTAGTCAATAAATGTATATTAAGTGGGAGAGAGGCTGTAAAACAACCTTGCAAATGGGATATTATTTGTTTGTTTTCAGATATATATTCCTAATCAAATTTGGAGCACCTACCACTTAGAGGAATAAACACTAGGCCAGTGATCTTTAGATTCTAGATATTTGTTTCAGAATTTTCCATGAGTTTGGTTTTCTTGTTTGTTTTGTTTTTCTGAACTGTAGTGGGTTAATAGACTTTTCAGTAAGTGTGTAAATTTTTAAGTTCTCTAACTACCTTCGTGACCTATGAAGGAAGAGTTCTGCCAATAGCCGCTTGTTAAATTTTATTTAAAGATACATTTTTTCTAAGCTAGATTGTGTTATATTTGCAAAATATACCTATACCGGTATATTACTTACACAATATACAAAGACCAAATATACCTACAGAATGTCCTTAAGTGGTAGGAGGAACTGGAATGAAAATGGCAGAATTCAAAATGAGTAAGTTCATTTTGTTCCCCTCAGGCTGCATGTGGTCAGTGGTTTTATAGGGATAAATTCTATACTGTGGTGTGGCCATCTGCTTCATTTGATGAGGTACATGACTGATCATTTGAAGTGGAGTTCCTGTCAAACCAGACAGAAGTATCATTTTTTTTTTTTTATTTACTTAAAGTTAATATCAGTTGTGAGGTTCATAAAAACAACTGTTTGTTTTCTAGACTTGATAATTCAAAGTAATATATCAGTACATTTACCTGAATGAGAAGTAGACCAAATGCCATGTAATGGAAACGGACTACCTAGAGGCACTTATTTGTAGAACTGAAAGAAAGAAAAGTAGAAGATAGAATATATAAATAAATGAAACTTCTGAATGGATGTCAGTATGAAATCAATTATGAGAATTCTTTTTACTTTGATATTAGAGTCAAAATATTCCTATTTTAACTTGCCTTCTGTTTTTTCTCTTAAGTAGCTTTTTATCTTTACCAATGAAAGTTGAAGAGTTGAAGAAGGAATTCAGTTGCTAGTATAGACTAATGAAAATATTTGATATGGGGTGCTTTTATTATTTGCAAAACCATTTAAATTATAGTTTGATGAATTTTTACAAAGCTTCCCAAATGAAAGTGGCGTCACTGAGAAATGTACTTGCTACATTTCTAAAAAATCAAAATTGTGTCCTGTATACTTACCCTACACACAGCAGCACTTGGTTTTATAAGATCCATGTGGATTTTTGTTACTACATTTAGCAATATTTTAAAATAAAAATTTTTGAAAAGTTTTTAGTGATATTATTTTGTACTGGAGTATGAAAGGTTTCTGTAGATGAGTATGTCAAGTTTATATTCAGCACCGTAGTTAGTACCTCAGCCCAGATGATAAGCAAAGTGAGTAGACTTTCTCTTACACAAAGAAAACTCACGTAAGGGAAATAATGCTAATCTCAATTTTAGATTAGGCAGCAGCCCCATGTGAAAACTGCGGTTCATCTTATATGTCAGCAAGTATCTTTTCCAGCTGCTTTCTCTCTCTAATCAAAACATTTGCTCACAAGAACAGCTGCTTCTATGCCTTGTTTCTAAACTGTTTGCAACAAATCGAACTGGGAACAACATGTACATAATAAGGAAACTCAGCATTCTGGGACATGAATGTTCTAAAACTTCAAAATAAGAAAGTCAATTCACAAGCCAATTACCTTTTTACTCTTAAAGCTTTATGTTTCATGAAGCCTAGATTTATAATCAACACTGATATAGTGCAGTTCAGAAATTTATAAAATGATTGTTCCAATAGATCATTAAGAATAGATTAAGTAGATCATTTAAGAATAGATCTACTTAAAATTGTATGTCAGATATACACAACACAATACATAGCTTATGTACTTAGATGAAATATTTTGGGAACTGAGTTTCTCATATAATACTAAATTATTATTCTAAGCCATAATTATCTGTGTCATGCTTATGAAGCTGCGTTAATAAAAGTTAATATGCTACATGACTTCATATTTTAGATAGCATTTGACTGAAACAAAAGACACATTAACTTGAATTGGTGCAAATAACTATTTTGGAATACATCTTATAATCTGTGTTTGCCAAAGAAATCTTTCTTCTATTTATAGTTTTTAGAATATAATGGTATTAGCTAATTTTGCAGTGTTTGAGAAATAAATATATTATTCTTAATGTTAATATATTTTTGTAAACTAATTTTTCATTGTAAGTATCATCATATGAAGTGAAGAAAGGAGTGATTTAGGTCAAACTAACACATCTTCATTTAAGCATTAAAAGATTTGTGTTTGAAAGATCTCAATCTCCGCATGTCCTAGAAGTAAAAACCAGACAAATAAAATAAAACTTCATGCATCCCAGAGAGGTCTGAATAACCAACCAGTTACTTAAAAATCCCACCATCTGCTCTCATTGAAGCAGCAAGGCTGAGGCATCTTCCCATTACAAACCACAGCATTCAGAATGTAACATTGAGAAATGAGACCGTCTCCCCACCTCCCCACCCCTTATTTGCTACGGTGGTTCTTAATAAACACTTGAGCTGTACAAAGGAAAGGGAGGGTACTCTGCCGCCCAGTGTCCTAATTGAGCGCTTATATCCAGTAATAGCTTTTTGCATCCTGGGCAGCCTGACATTGCCCCCCATTGGCCATTGGCCGAGAACAGCTATTATTCTAGGAGGCAGCTAGTGAAGTGTCCCAGTCCATCTGCTAGCTTTTCATGGGCTGGTGCTTTCCTTGATGTTGACAGCTGTCTTAATATTCCTGGGCCACCTGCCACACAGTAAATACTGTGCTCTAAGACATATACAGAAGTTTATCCCTCCGGTGGACTTCTCAGGACAAAAAGCTTAGCATTTCTAAACTCCACTTGAATCCTGGTGTAAATGCTTCGGGGATCAGTACTTTCAGTACTTTCCTCATACTTTTGAGGTGTATAGTGCCTGTGCTTTGGGAGTTACAGTGTGATGGAGTCAGGTTTCCTGACAGATCGAATAAGCTATAGAACTGCAGACTTTCTGTGGAAGTCATGGTGTTCACAGAAGATGGAGATAAAGAAAGATTACTGACAGTTATCTCCTCTAGTAAGCCTTCCTGGAACCTTCTAGACTAAGTTGGGGGTCCAGCCTATATATTCCTTTAGAAGGATTTCCCCTGTCATAACCTCTTGGCTCATGTTTCCTCAATCAAACTGCTCCTTGAGAGAAAGCATTTGGTCTTATCATTGCATCTCTAAGAATGAGCATGTGTCTGATACACAGTTGGCACTCAGAGATAGATCGAAGTTTTGTGGGGTCTGAATATTTTCACAATTTGGGATGGGGGGTCCTCTGTGAAGAAAAGTAAATATAAAATAAAAAATAGATGCAAAAGTGAATGAAAAAATAAATCATGCAATTACCAATCTTAAAAGGTTGACTAATATTACAAATATCACAAAGTCTAGAAAAACAATATTTTTTCCATTACCTGCTCAGCATAGCTCCATAGTACTTTTTTTCTTATATTTTTGGTAGTATACACTTTGATAGACTTTCATATGACAATGGTTTTTAATATCTTCTAAACATAATGGAAAGAATTTAGTCTAAAGTTTGTTGAGCATATGTATTATTGATAGAAGGGTATGTAAACATGTTCGCTGTATACTCACACTCACTGTGGTACTGCCATAGGTTTGTACCTACAAACAATTTTGATAAATTATGTTCTACCTGATTTTTATTTAAAAGTTTGGTGCACTAACAGTTATAAAAATTGTACACATCGCATTATTGAACATGTTGTTGTTATGAAGTTACATCAATTAAAAGTGGTCCTTCCCCTTTCAGTTTTGTCCTTTGATTCCTGGAATAATTTTCCACGAGTCTCCTTTTGCTATTGTACATTTCAAATCCCTTCACCTCTACTACACACATATTTTCAGAGTTAGGGCTCTTAGGATATGTTTATACCTTGACTAGGACCCCTGGTCCTACCTCTTGGGTGGAATGCTTGGTGAGTTTCACAACGGGTAAGTTGGAATTTATGCAATAACTTTGGAGAAGTTTACAACCACATAAATATATTCCACCAAATCCAAACTAAATGTATTCCCAACTCACATTCCCCAGATTACCCCAAAATTCCCCCAATAACTTCAGTACCAACTGACTCTAGGGATAGTGGGATGGAGGGAAAATCCAGGTAGAAAGAGATTGGGGTCTTAGTCAACTGCAGTTACATTTACTTTTGTAAATTTCACAAAAACATGTACTTGTGGTCACATTCTTGAGTTCACACTGCAAAAGACTGTGCTAGTGAGGGGCCTTGAGCTTCAGCTTCATCAGCTTCATAGTGGATGTGCTTCTGTTGGTGCTCACTAAACATCTCTGAACAACAGAGTGAATGAAGACTGCTGTGCTAAATTAGCACCTCTATGATCCTCACATCCTCCACCTTTACAGATTTCCTAATTCAGTCTTAGAACGGAGTATTCAGAAGCGTTATTATGAGTTCACAATACAAGGATGTACGACATCTAGGAACTGATAAACATTAGAAAAGTAAATAAACAAAAATTCAGGAGTCACTGTTATGGCTTTAAGCTCATTTTTTCATAGACAGTTTCCTATGTATTGCAATTCAAGCACTTTGTTCCACCACAGAGTGGAGATTAGTCACTGTTTCTTTCATGAATTTGTTGCTTTTGAGGAAAAAAATATTTCATGGGTCTATATTTGGCCCAACTGTTTAGGGGCCTCTAATAACATTTACATTATCTCATGTGGTTGCATACAGTCCATTAATAGAAGGGATTCTAGCCCTGGCTGGTGTTCATTTGGGCCTCGTGTGGCCACCAAAAGGTGGCATTTCTATTCCAGGTCGGGCACATGCCGGGATTGCTGGCTTGATCCGTGGTAGGAGGCGTGCAGGAGGCAGCCAGTTGATGATGTGCTCTCAAATCAATGTTTCTCCCTCTCCCTTCCTCTCTCTCAAAATCAATAAAAATATTTTTAAAACAAAGAAGGAATTCTAGCTGGACAACCGTTAGCATGACCATTAGCATTATTTCTATTCATATTATCACCACCAACACTATTGAACGTTTCTATATACGATTCTGATGCCTTCTCGTGACTATTAAACAGCATTTTCCTTGAGAGCTATTTTTTAGAGAAATTCTTATTCTTAGAGAAATGTTATTAGTAAAACCGTAATTCAGTAATAAATCTTACTGGCTCCCACCCACTTTTATCCCCAGACAGACTTTGTGAATAATCCCCCTTCTGGATAGGCCGTAGGGATAGGGCTTTGGTCACAGTAAGTGGGAGACACATCTGGTAGTCATTTAACATTTTGGGGGGGAGATAAATTATTCTCTGGGCCTTCTAGCTGGAAAAAGCAGATGGCTTCATACCCCTCCTTGCTTTCCTAGTCTCTGGGCTTCCTGGTAAGTGGGCCTTTAATGGATATTCTCCCCAAAAATAAGGTGAGAATTGGGAACTTGTCTTACTCTAGTGTATTATTCTAGCTTTTCTCTATTTTCTCAGACTTTCAGAGAAGGAGAAAAGATTTGCAAAAGAGAACACAGTGATAATCTTGAGGGATAGTCTGGGATAAACCCACCTGAAGGAAACTGGGCTGATTTAGCTTTGGTGGGTCAAATCGAGCCGGAACAAATTAGGGTGAGTGTTTTGGGCTCTGCTGCAGTTAGCAGACGCTGAAGTGCTTCTGGGAGGCAGCTGTGGGGTGGCAGAGAGGCTCAACAGCCACCAGCTGGTGCTGAAATGACCTGGAACTTGCAGATGGTCAATCTACTCATAACTCTTCCCCTCCAGCACTCCAATACCAGAGGTGGGATGACCCTAAGATACATTTCTTCCCCTCCCCAAGTCAAAACTGCCTTGGACATTTCATTTGATCTCATTTACTTATATAGGGTTTTTAGTGAACAAGCACGGCATTATACTTCTCTGATTTCCACATCCTTTCACGGGTTCTTTGGCTTTAAAACAAATAAACCAAAACAAAACACCTGGGGTGAATGGGCCACAGTGTTTTCTCTACTAGCCACTAGGGTATACAAAACCAAGAAAATCCATACAACTGCATTAGTGAAATAAGTCCGACACAGAACACATACTACATGATACCGTTTATATGATGAATCTGAAACAATCACATTCATAAAAGCAGAGTTGGAATCTTGGTTACCAGAGCCGGGGGAAGAGGGAAGGGGGGGTATTAGTTCAAGGGCACCAAGTTTCAGCTGTGCAAGTCCTAGCCCGAGTTCCAGGGCACAGCACAGTGCCTGGAGTTAACAACACTGTGTCCTATACTTAAGACATGCCAAGAGCACAGGTCTTATGTGAAGTGCTCTTACCACTAAATATAAGNCTGTGTCCTATACTTAAGATATGCCAAGAGCACAGGTCTTATGTGAAGTGCTCTTACCACTAAATATAAGAGAGAAAAAGAGGGTGGGCCCTNTTCTGTGCACGAGCTTGCCCCTCAGGGAACATGCCCCGTTTCGGGCTCTTTCCTGGTTCGAGGTGTGCAGGTGGAAGCCGATCATGTTTCGCTCTCACATGGATGTTTCTTCCTCCCTCTTCCTTCCTTCCTCTAAAAACCCAATAAAAAAATTTTTAATAAGAGGGTAGGAGGAAACTTTTTGAGGTGATGGATAGATTGTGATGTTTCATAGGTGTACATTTATCTCCAGACTCATCACGTTGTATATATTAATTAGGTACAGTTTTTGGTACTCATAAAAATTTTAATAAAACCTAAAAAAAAAAAAATCCATACTACTGTGTTGTTTCAGCACTTACAGGTTTGAATCACTTGTTTCAGGTCGTGTTATTGCAAGAGGGTTGGCGTGGTGGTGGCAGTGCGTAACGCGGTGAGAAATTCAAAGCGCGTCTGGGTGAGGAACTTTCTCCCCGCGCACAGCCGGCTGAGCAGCGGGGTGCCGGCGGACCCCGACGGCACCTCCTTTCCGGAGGCTCGGCCCGGGGGTCGCGGCATCTGCAGGCCCGGAGGGGCTGTTTTAGCTGCAGAGCCGCCCGGGTCACTCTGGTGCTGCAGTTACCAGGAGCTTTCACAAACTTCAGTTCATAAACCTCTTTTAAAAGTCTGAAAATTCCGTGCAGTGACTGGGGCGCAGAAAACAGATCAGTAACAAAGTCGGAATTGCGCGCGAAGCCGAACAGGCTGCAGCCGAAACTCAGCTGGGCCGG